TCGTTATTTGTTGGCGGTTTGGTTTGAAGTGTCAGATTAATCAGCTACGACGCGCAGGCCAGGCCTACCAGTGCGATTATGCATTTTTGCACAATTCCATGTTGTAGTGAGATCGCTTCAGCTCGTACAGATCCCATATTCTTGGAAAATCTCAACATCCTGGCTAAACTAGACTCTCCAGAAACGCTTTTTTGCCAAAAAGTTAATCATGCTTGTACGCATGGCACAGGCGTATGTGAATGTTCATTTCATGCGTATGAATTCACACATAGGCAGCAAATATTTTCGCAAAATCAGAACAATTTACTTCGTCTAGTTCCAGAGTTGGCATTTTGCCAAAATCGAAATTAATTTGTTCATACACATGACGTGCGGATGTGTTCAAGTTGACTTTTAAAACACGCATACGGACTCGCAGCTGGACAACAAATATTCTCGTGAAATCAATGAGATTTACTCAACGTAGCTCTCGAGTTGGCACTTTGCCAAAATCGAAATTAATTTGTTTGTACACTTAATTTAAAAAAAAGAAATTCCATTCTTGCAAAATTTCATCCCAGCATTTTGGACGGAAAAAATTTTGTTATTAATGCGTGCAATTAAATGCCATTTTCTTCTGTGACTTTTTAGTTTGACAAATTACCAAAGTATTTTGCAAAAATTTTCACTCATATGTACATTTTATTGTATATTAAATGACAAATTGTTATGGTCAAAATTTTTTTTTTCTTCTATGCGATTGGAAATCGAGGGAGCTGCTTCGGCTTCTGGTCAATTTCTTCCCCACGGCAGAAAGTGGCTGAGGTCCAGACGTCTTTGTTCCAAACCACTCCATGGATCGAGCACCTGTTGTTGTCCATTTCCTGGCACTGGCCCTGGTCTGCCAGCATATGGCCTTACCTCCTGGCAGAATCCCCCTACGCAATTTTCGTTCCGTGCGCACTGTCTATAACTGATGCCTGAAAAAAAAATTTTTTTGATTAAAAAATTATAAAACTACACAAATAGTTCTTATTTATGTGCTGCGAATTGGATTTTTCGAATTATCCAATGTGAAAGCCTGCATGCTTTGATGTTGATCAGGCCTATCTCACAAAGACCTAACTTCTAAAAAATCGGTCGAGGTCCTTCCATTTAGGTCTCGATACTGTAGTAGTGTTTTTAATGCTCTCCAAATCCTCGAGAAGAGGAAATTTTCGACTAATTTATCGAAAATAGAACATTTAAGATTAGCGACATTTTACCAATTCCCTTATAGGAAGTTTCTTTTCCCTTGCTTAATTTCCATACCTCTGCTTGGGCAACCTTCAGGGCGATGGTGAACGTATGTGTGCACAACCCCGAGCAAAATATGTGAAAAGTAACCGAGTAAAAGCGGTCCAAAGATAGGTGATTATAACATAACTTAAGAAATCTTAAGTTCCTCATCATTTTGTAGCAAAAAAATGTTATTTATTCAAACTTTCATTAGATAAATGCGCAGAACACAAAATTTTAGTCGACGGAAAAGTTGCCAGCTGCATAGGTGAAAATCCTGAGTATAATTTAATAGCTGTTCCCGGTATTTGTGAGGCTGATGTTGTTCTGAATGTAAAAGTACAACTGATGATAAAAATTTGTACAGTCATGCTGCTGTTTTTGCAAAAAAGAACTGAGCAAACATTAAAAGATTTTTGTTTTTATCGCATCACTTCCTGGTGGACGCTCTTTTCAATTTCAAATTTCAAGAGGGGTCCAGCAAACTGGCGCCTGTCCTTTGACTTTGGGTCTCACTTGCTTCGCGCTGCACTTTTTTAGCATTTGAGCATTAAAGCAATATTAGGCCGGAGATAAGGAATCTATCTAAATAACTTGGACGTACCGATGAACAGCCTGTGTTTCATCCCTTAGCTGCAGAATGATAAAGCAAAGTAAGTAGCCAGTCATCATTACAGTCCGCTACCTACCAACTATGGATATGATGGGCAAGGTAACAGCAATTTTTGCTCCTTTGAATTTTCTTTATAAATGTTTGAATTTTTTGGTTAATTTTCCCAATTAATTTCGTGTCCGTTTAGGTAAATTTTTGTTCTTCACGATAGAATTCCTTATCCCTTCGACACAAATTTTACGGGACCCAAGGCTAGACTTTCATGCTCATCCTTTTCCCTGACCCTTCGTCTTTTGCACTTTACTTCCTTCCCGAAATGGCAGTAGTCTGGAAAGTCTTCGGCGAAGAGAATCCTCTGTTTGTATTTTTTTTGCTCCCACGTTTCTACTTCCCCGCCTCACTATGTCACAAGGCCCCTTGCTTTCTCTAAGAACACCATTCATTTCGAATGAGTCATCTGACGCCAAATAGACGCTTTTAAAAACTTTTTTCCAATAAAATTCACTTTTCGTTTAGAAAAAAAGCTAACAGTTAAGAGGCGGCAGTCTTTTCACATCACAGCT